TCATTCTATGATTCTATGATTCTATAAGTCTTTTGTACTAAATTATGTCTGATGGCAGTTTCCTAGCAGCATCATGATGGAAGCTGATCTTGATTAGGGATTGCAATTAGGAAAAGGTATGTTGGCAGAATATTTTACCCAAAAAAGTTTCTAGCTTAGAATTTGAAATTTCACACTGTTCCTCTTTGCCTAGGACAGTAAGATGCAGGGCGGAGAAGCACATGTCTGCTCTGAAAGAAGGCTTTATCCTTCAGTGGTTAGTTTATATAGATTTTCTAATGCACATCAACATTTATTGGTTAGGTGCATCTATAGAGAAAGTCCTTGACCTTTAAAAAAAATATTTTAAAATTCATGAAGCAGCTTCTTTACCTCATTCATTTCTCTTGCTTCTTTGATTCTTACGTCCAAGTATGTGGAAGTATTAGCAAGGTTAACATCTAGCCCTTTATAAAGCATCTTATTGTGTTTTGTTGAGATGCCTTTTCACATTCTTTTCCTTCTCACTAAAGGATAAAATTGTAATCCATTCTTTCTCGGCAGATGGCGAGGTAAAACACGTGCAGAAATGTGAGAAAACTGAGACCCACAGTGATTTTTAAAATACTAGAAATGTAGAAGCATATCTTCTACCCAGCTGCCGATTTTCAATACAGTGCTAGCTCTTTAATGCTATTGCTATTAGGTGATATGGCAAGATGGTTTTTGTGGGAATGTTCTGAATTTGTGGGTGGGTATTGGGGAGAATGTGAGCAGTACAGCAGCTTGCATCTTCTATCTTCAGAATTTAGCACCATTGACAAAGCATGTGTCAGGAGATTTAGCTGTTCTAAAGTCATCTAACATAAAATGATCTGCCCCCTTTTTTCAAGGCTGAATCAAAAAATTTTAAGTGGCAATGCTTTGTTGTTAATACTGCTCCACAGTTGTCTATGGTAACTGCAGAAGTAGTGTAGATAGTGATTTCCCATTTGTAACTCGTGATCCTGAGATACTTTTCAACCAAATCCTTTTACCTGATAAAAATTAGCAGACAAATATATAAAAGTTTAAGATAATAAAGGTGTAAAAAAAAAAAAAATGTCTCCTTGGCCTTGTAAACAGGTTAACTTCCAATGTGTGATCAAACTGCTTTTGGTTTCATCAATGTGTGTGTGTGCGTTAGAAAAGGAAGAGTTTTCTCAAGCAACTACTCACTTGTACAGTCTTATCCTATTTTAGTATCTTTAGACTTCCACTACTTCTCATAGGTGTAGCTGAATTGTTAAGAGGCCATGATACTGCCTTTTGGGGTGTGGGGGTAGAAAATGTTTGTGGTGGTGTTTAGATAGAATAAAATTTGCCACTTTGAAACACTGGATTTAGAAATGAGGAATTAGTAGGGGAATGGATTCTCACTTTTTCTGTAGTAGGAGTTTTCTCTGACACAGTATTCCTAATTCAGATGTCAGAATATAAATCTGTATACCATATATGGTATAATCTGTATACCATATTCAGATGTCAGAATATAAATCTGTATACCAAGTTGCTGAGGGTAACCTTGACAAATTTGACAGGAATTTTCATCACTTTGTGTACTTATTGATGACAGCTCCATGGTTCTCGTCATCATTTAGTCATATTTTCTTGACTTTTAAACTGTCAATAGGAATGTATATCAGCTCCTCAAAAATGTTAGCAAGAACACTGTAGCTAAAATTGCATCGCATTTACACATTTCTTCTTGAATAATATTCTTGTAACATTTCCTAGTGTAGACAATTATCATCGTCTGGAATTTCATTTTAAACACTAGGCAGACATTTGACTAAGCGATAGCCATTTATCCGCAAGCTCTGTCTGAGTTAGAGGCTTGAGTTCTCTCAAAGCTCTGATATGCAGGAGCAGCATGCTTAGTGGGAGAATACCTGAGCAGAGCAACTGTGTGTGCTCCACGCCAGAGCTGTACAAACTGAACGTGTTCTAGAAATCAGATGCTACTTGGGTAGAGGGAGGCTGAGCGGCTGAGAATGGCAAAGGGAAGGATCCAGACAGGGAACAGGAAGATGGGCATTAATAAGGTCAGAAGAAGAGAAGACAGGATCACCGGGTGGATGAATATGGTTGAAGTTGAATAGCTGGAAAAGAAATGAAGTTAGTTAATGTGGAAAGGTCCCCATTAAAAGCTGTGGCAAAAAAAGTCTGACTGCATTCTCTCCTAGAGTATGGAATTGACCTTAAGATCTCTTTCTACATTGCTTCTTGTTTTAGGTAATAGCTCCGAGTGCTGTGATAATGTGTGTGTATTTATCCCCTGTTAATTGCCTTAAAATATTATCATGTTCCCCTATTGCCAGTTGCTATGTTAGGAAGCAGAAAATTGTATTTTATTTTTATTGTGCAATTACATGCTAAACTTTCTGTTTGTTATGTTTTTTTAATAGCAGCCTTCTCATAGGTATTTTTAAAATAGAAAAGTTATCTCATTCACTGTCAGTATAATGATTTGTCTACTGGGAAAAAATAACTTTGTATCATTCAGAATTATTTCTTTAATATTCGGAGAATTTTCCTAGGGATTAGGCTTACAAACTAATGAGGTTTTTCTTCTGCTTAGTCATGAAAAAAATCCATCTTTCTAATTTTTAGCTCTTTCTAGCAATCTGATCTGGTGGGATAACTGATCCTCTATCAGTTCCTCCTATACTTCAGTTTATTGTGTTCTTAGTGTTTCAAGGACAGTATTTTTCTGTCTTTTGTGCAATAGATAATCCATAGCAGTAGTAACAAGGAGGCTATCACTTCTTGATCTTGCTCAAGATGAACTTCCTTAAATACATCATCCAGTAGGCAAACAATAAGGAATGTTGCTGTCCACAGTAATGACCTTTGTTCTGCATATTCTAGTTAACATGGAAAATGGGAGGGTCTCTGAAACCAACTGCACACACATGACAGGAAATAAAGACCTTTTCTGATACAATGTATTAGAAAATACAGGTTTGATCATCACTGGAGAGACATGTAACCTGTGAAGTATTTTACAAGAGGTTTTTTTGTGTGTGTAGAATTTTTAAAAAAGGGCAAAGGAAGAGTAAAGCCTTTCTCATTTTCTCTACCAGTTGCTTCAGCTGACTTTCATTCCCTAGACCTCTCTCCCCAGTCTGCATTTGCTTGGTTTTCGTATTTATCCCCTCTCCTGTTAATATTATATATTTGAAAGAAACTGTTAATGTCTGGATTTGTATATGAAAGTTGCTGTAGAAAAGTAAGTGGTGTTATTAGAGATGCTCATTCTTTCCTGCAAAATTACTAGTATGAAGCTGTGATAGAACAGGAACTTTTACAAAAATCAGTCATATCTCACCACCACCACTCTCCTTCCTGAGAAAAAATTTTCAGGTTGAGGATCACATATGACATGACAATAGGCAGGGATACAGATTTTTCTGCAGGGATATTTACATTTTTTAGTTAAGAAGAAGAGATCAATTTGTTGCAGGTATTTGAAGTTTTTTCCATTTTCCTGCTCAGAAAGAAGAAAAATGTATCATGAACACATACAGCTAGAAGAGATTTTATTGTCTCAACTGGTAGGGTACAAATACACATTGTTAAAATGTTTAGCTCAGAGAGAGCAATTACAGGTAGTTTTCTGTCTGTAGGAAGGCCCAGTGTAATGAATGCTACTCATCATACTTGAGCTCTTTCTGTTGCAAAATTCACTGCTGGAAAGTGGTTCTGTGCCTCCGACTGAAACTGTCATATGCAAAGTAACAGGGATGTTGTGGTTTGTAGAGCAAGAATTAAATGAAACAACTGCTGTATTAGATCTCAGAACCATTAGCTTCTCCCACGTTAGAGATGGTGATAAATTACTTATTCTATAAAATACCTGTGCTCCAAAATTAGAAGTCTTCCCTACAGTTATGGTGAAAGCCTTGCACACCTACCTCCTGGCAGGGTTGCTCTGGCTTTCTTTTTGTTATTTAAAGTCATAATCACTGGCAGGGAGTAAGGAATCACACTGTATGACTAAAAGTCTCCTTTTTTGGAAATAGAAACTTTTTCTGGCTAATGGAGAGGATTCCTTTCAGGAACACAAATATGTACCTTTCATGATGTAAATAACAAAAAAATTACTAATGACAGTGTCAAATGTTCAAGTGCGGCAGACTCATGAGAACCCAAGGAGAATGTAACTGGTGCTTAGCTACATTTCTGCTGCAAGCTTTAATAATGTTTTTAACATTGTGGTTGTTTTTCCTTGAATGTGGTAGAGATGACAGGTAGTTATTTTCCCTATTTTCTGTTCCTATGGAAACCCAGTGTTTGCAGTAGCAGTCTTACTGTATGCTCTGTAATCCTCCCCGTGGCTTCCAGCCAATGTGGGAACTTAATAATTCATGAGCATTAAGCCTGAATTTGCTGGGAAGCAAACTGCGTTGCTTGGAGCCGTTTTCTCAGAGCCAGATTCATTTCCCTCACAGATCTGGTGTTCTTTTCTCTAAGATGTCTGTGTGAAATACACTCCATAAACCAAAACAGTGTACTTCTCTTCCCCTGGTTTTGAAATGGGGGTTGTTGTAGATCTTCTGGATAAGGCAGCTCAGGAAAGAACTCCCATGCCTCCTCCCAAAAGAGGAGAAAAGGGGGGAAAACCAAACATACACCATCAACACTTGCCTGAAGAGGAAGATTTTAAGTAGTCCATGAATCATTGTTCAGACAATATGCAAACTGAAAGTTCAGCAGAGATGGCTGTCTGTCTCGGGAGTTCAGGAGCAACTGCCATCGATGACGGATTGCTCAAATACTGCTGTGCCATGGGATGTGGTATATGCTGTTGAGTTACGTTATACATGAGAATTCAGTTCTTCAGACACGGTGTCATTCTGTACATATGCTTTGACTTACTGTCACACATAAACAGAACTGAAGAGTCATTCTGTGGAGCACTGGGAGATTTTATTACTAGGTTAGTCTTACAGCACCTGTAAGGACTTGGCTTTTTTTCCGAGAGGATGGGCAAAAAATAGCAACTCTAGAAGGTGAACATGATTAACAGAAAATAAAATTGAAAAGCTTTTTACAGAGGATACTCCTAAATGGACTGCAAACAAATTGCTTAATCATCTCAAGAGTTCTGCCTTTTAAGGTATGATGGCAATATGTAGATGCATTCTGAAATGTTTTCACAAAGGAGACTTTGTTAAAAGTATTTGTGGTCTTTCCACGAAGTAGTATTTGCAAGGTAGTTCAGCTCTTAGGAGGAACCAAAATTATTTAACAGTTGATCATAACTTTACTTTTCAATTTCTTCACATGCTTATGTAGGTGTCATGAACAGTTGCACCTCCTTAGAAACCCTTTCTCTTATTGCTTAAATCATCTTTCAAGGGAAAGATCAACTCCGTATTTATGGCAGTGGGAAATGACTGAAATGTCGATATACACACATGCTTTCTTCGTGAGTATGAGACCATCTGGTGGAAATAAAAGTTCAGAAGTCCTGGTGTGAAATTGTTTCCTTTTTACAAAGTTTCTACGGGGTGTTCTCAAAAGCACC